TTACCACATCTAAATACATCCTCGGGCGCCTGGGTGGCTCAGTTGGTTAAGCGTCTGCCTTCGGCTCAGGTCATGATCGCAGGGTCCTGGGATCGGGCCCCACATCGGGCTCCCTGCTCAGCAGGGAGTCTGCTTCTCTCTCTGACCCTCTTCCCTCTTGTGCTCTCTATCGCTCATTCTCTCTCTCTCAAATAAATAAATAAAATCTTTAAATAAATAAATAAATAAATAAATAAATAAATAAATAAATATGTCCTCAAAGTACCAACGAACCACTAAGCCCTACACAATCTCTGACCATTTTCCCTCTAGTTATTCACACCCCAGCCACGCTCACCTTGCTGTGCCTTGACGGTGTCAAGCATTTCCTGTCTCAGAGCCTTTGTGCTTAACTCTCCCTCCATCTGCACCACTCTGATCTCAGTATACTCAGGATTAAGTTTAGTTTCAAACAGTGGCATAAACAATATAGATACTTATTCATCCCTCATGTTCCAGACATCTTGAGCTAGGCATTCCAGAGGTAGTATAAAGTCCACGGTTTCAAAGAACCCACATTCCTTCTATCTTGTTGCTTTGTCACGTGTGGCTTCCATTGTCAGACTCACCTCCCAGCCCCGATCAGCCATAGGGATTCCAGTCATCATGTTGGAGCTCTAGCCAACAGGAAAGAGGAAGAAGGAAAGAGCACTCTATGTTTCTATGAAATGTTGGATAAAGGAGGAAACAGAACACCTCATTTTTAAAAAAAAAGTTTTTCTGAAGTTAAACCTTGCTGTCTAAGGACAATCCCATCTACCTTCATGGCAGCCTTAGAGGGCAATTATAAGGTGCTTTTTTAAAACTGAACTTGTTTCTAATCACCCTGCTAGTGAAAGTCTAGTTGACCTTGAGCTTTTCGTACCACCTATGGTCCAGGAGTATTCAGATTTCTTTTGTTTTAGCAAAAGAAACCTTTTTAAAAATTAAAAATAAATGCTATAAATATTTTTATATAATCACTTGTATTAACTGGTCAAAGCTAAAACTGAATCATTTGTTAAGATTTTTATTTATTTATTTGTCAGAGAGAGAGAGAGAGCACAAGCAGGGGGAGTGGCAGGCAGAGGGAGAAGCAGACTCCCCAGTAAGGAGTCCAATGTGGAACTTGATCCCAGGACCCTGGGATCATGACCTGAGCTGAAGGCAGACGCTTAACCGACTGAGCCACCCAGGCACCCCTAAAACTGAATCATTTATAAATAGTTTTATAATAACCTATCAGAATAATGAATGTGTTTAACACAAACAGGTTGGTCTAAATAGAAACTAAACAACAGATAATCCAAGAATTGTTGAGAGTCCATATAGTATTTATAAAATAAACTCCAATATATACAAAATATATTTGTTATTTATATATTAAAATTTATAGCATTCACTTATTATGAAGTTAGTCAATGGAAACAGTATTTTTGATGAGCACAAAAATGTTGTAAAAGGGTTTATTATAGTTGTAGAAAGCCTCTGAAATAAACCTATTTCTACATTTGTTTTGGTTGTACGGTATTAAGAAAAATATGATTTATAGACTAGTAGTCAGAAATGGTTTCAGGTTTTTGCATTGTTTGGGTTATCTTTATGATTTTTCTTCGATTAAACAGAGATGACAAGAGAGGATGTATTCTGAACTACACATAAGCATCCACAAATTAGCACACAGACTTCCAGCATGTTAAACTTTGGTAGATAGTGTATGAAAGAGCACTGCATGTTTTTGTACAATTTCTTAAATGTTTTGAATAAGTAAGGAAATACTTCTCCCTATATTTAGGATAAACACGTTGTTTATTGGCTTTTTAAAAAACTGCTTTGTTGAAATTTAAATGCTGTAAATTTTAAGTATAAAATCCAATGAATTTAGTAAATTTATAGACTTGTGTAACCGTTACTAATCCAGTTTTAGAACCTTTCGATCGCCTCAGAAACCTAGCTGCAAACTTATGCTTCCTGCACCCCCTGCACCTCCTTCTCTTATTTCCCAAACTTCCAGGGAGAAGGGTAGTTGGTCTCCTTCCTGGAAGCTGATGTGTTCGTGTCTGTGTAAAAATATGCATGGTCTATGTTCCTGTAAAAAGTGTTCAAAATAGGGATGCCTGGGTGGCTCAGTCAGTTAAGTGGCTGCCCTGGACTCAGGTCATGATCTTGGGGTCCTGGGATCGAGCCCTCAGGGCTCCTTGCTCAGCGGGGAGCCTGCTTCTCCCTCTGCCTGCTGCCACCCCCGCTGTGCACTCTCTTTCACACACAAATAAATAAATAAATAAAATCATTTAAAAAAGTGTCTAATATAGGTATAGAACTTGTAGTGAAAGGTAAAAGCTAAAAGTGATTTTGTCATCGGGAGGCCTGTGAGCAAATTCATTTTATGCACTGTGTAATAATGTATAATTGGTATCAAAGTGTGTAACATGTTGACCTGGAATGTTCCTATGGTATCAGAGGACAGTTCTGATGTCCAGCGTTTTCACCGTCTAATGATATCTTATTGATTGGCAAGTTGCAGGTGACATTGTCTGTGGCCTTTGATGCGTACCAGAAGGGAGACTTACAATCCCAACAAAATTGAGGACATACTTCCATGATATTGAAACTTCTGTTAGCGGTTTCACACACAGAATCCCATGTGTAGTCAAAGAATAACTGCTGTCTTTCACAAACTCTAGTAGTGTTTGTTTCTGAGAGAACACTTGTTGCTCGTATAAAACTGCTGGAAAAGTTGGCCTTTGTGTCCCTCAGTAAAAGAGGCAACACTACCCAGGACTTTCGGCACGTTGACTTCATGAGATTTAAAATTCCCTTTTTGTGGAGCTGTTAAGGTGACAAGGCTCTTTCAGAAAAATACAGGTGACACCTGTCTGGTAGACTGACTAAGCAAGTATGGAAAAGTAGACCTTATTCATGAAGTGTTTGCTGACAATGGGCAGCTGGTTATATTGAAATGTACCATGGCCTACTAGTATAGTAGGTTGGAGAGAAGTCATGTAAAGGATAGGTTTGGGTAGAAGCTTCTTCCTCACTTAGCAAATGAGGAAGCCCTGCCAGTTGTCCGGGAGGGCCAGGAGTGGAGATCACATGGTTCTCCATGGCTGACCCCATGTTGCAAGACCATATTGCTGAAACAGGGGGACCAAGAGGAAAGACCCCCTTGCTGAGATCTGTGCGGTATGGACTGCTGTTACCTGATGTGTTCAGTACCACCTCCTATCCAGACCTTTTATCCTTTCAGGAACAAACAGGCCTAGATTCTTTTTTTTTTTTTTTATTACAGATTTTATTTATTTGACAGAGAGACACAGCGAGAGAGGGAACACAAGCAGGGGGAGAGGGAAAGGGAGAAGCAGGCTTCCTGCCGAGCAGGGAGCCCGATGTGGGGCTCGATCCCAGGACCGCAGGATCACGACCTGAGCCAAAGGCAGACGCTTAACGACTGAGCCACCCAGGTGCCCCAAACAGGCCTAGATTCTTAATGTGCCACTGATTTGTTGCTGGCCCAGCCACAAGCTTTACTCCTTGCATTGCACCCGAACCATGCATACCCCCACCCCAACCCCCAGGGTCTTAGCCCACATGGAGGGCCTCAGGGCGGGGGGGGGGGGGGGGGCCAGCCTGGGCTCGGGAGCCTGAGGCTGTGTGCTCAACCCTGGTTCAGATCTCTGAAACTGGCAGGCTAATGCCCTCTGGCGCAGCCCTGATGAGGCCAAACAGCCCTGGGCGAGTCCATAACATCAGCTTTGCTGGCTACACCACAAGGCAAATCCTTGATCCCCAGACCTACAGGCTCTTCGCACACTGTCAAGTTTTGTCCCCTGCCCCACCACGCTTTGACCTTCTCACTAAGCACTTCAGGCAGAGAAAGACCTGGAAACTTTGAAGGCATGTGAGCTACCCAACCATTGTACCTGCAAGCCCCTTGTCCCCCTGGGGTGGGGCATGCTGATGGCATCATCACCACAGGATCGACTAAGACAGCTAATACCCAGGTTACTTAGGGACAGTTGGTATGTAGCATTACCACTTGAAGAGGAACCAAAGCTTCTGCCCAACTGTTGACCTTGATAAACAATGAATATTGATTAGTGATGAACAGATGTAAGCAGGTAAATGCTGCCAAAAACAAGATGGGAACTCCTGCTCTCACTGATGTGGTACAATCGGGCTACTGCAAAGTTCTGGAGAAAGGAAAGCTCCCAAAGCAGCCCAGCGTCAGGAGGGCCAAATTCTTCAGCAGAGGCGTTAAGAAGATTAAGCATCTGTGTGGGGGAGCTTGGAGGAGGGGCAGCTGCTGCTCTGGTAGCTTGAAGCCACATGGAGGGAGGTTCTAAATGCTAACAAATGCTTAAAAAAAAAAAAAAGAATGAATGGGCCTGGGGCAGGGGTTCACACCCCCTTCTCTTGCTGGCACTGATCAAAGGGTGTTGAGAACTTGATGGCACTTAAAACTGTCAGTCCTTAATGACAATGGGGCACAAGTTACCATGGTTCCTAGAGTCTCCCGTCTGCATAGTCAAAATCTACTTTGGATTTGGAAACAAATCTCAAGTGGGTGAGTATATGGCTGAGCTCTTTTGAGCCAATATACAGAAGATGTAACTGAGAATGCTGAATGCATTATAGGAAGTATATTTTTAAAAAAAATTCCTCAAGCCAATTTGTAGTCATTCCCCGTTCCCAGCCCAAGCCCCAGACAACCACTAATCTATTTTCTGACTTGACAGCTTTGCCTTCTCTAGGCATTTTGCTAAATGGAATCCTACAATCTTTTTTTGCTTGGCATCTCTCATTGAGCATGTTTTTGAGGTTCATCTGTCTTATAGCATGAATCATTCATTTTTATTCCTGAATAGTATTCTATTGTATGGATATACCAAATTTTGTTTATCTTCTTGCCAGTTGACAGACATTCGGGTTGTTTCCAATTTTTGGCTATTGTGAATAATGCTACTCTTAACATTTGTTTACAGGTTTTGTGTGGATATCCATTATTATTTCTTTCGCATAGATTCCTAGGAGTGAAGTCGCTGAGTTATATGGTAAATTTATGTTTCACTTTTTAAAGAAACTGCCGAAATATTTTTCCAAAGTAATTGTACCATTTTACATTCCTACCAGCATTGTATGGGGATTCCAGTTTTTCCACATTCTCTCACTAACCCTTGTTAATTGTGTCTTTTTGATTATAGCCATTTTAGTGGTATGAAGTGGTATCTCACTGTGACTTTAATTTATATTTCCATAATGACCAATGATGTTGAACATCTCTTCATGTGCTTATTGGTCATTCATATATTTTTGCTGAAATGTCTATATAAATCTTTGGCCCATTTTTAAAACTAGGTTATTTTTTTGATATTGAGTTGTAAGTGTTCCTTATAAATTCTGGATACAAATTGTTCTTCTATACTACACTTTAAAAAAAAAGGCATATGCAGTATTTACATTTTTAACTTCACTATGGAATGGAACCAAAAATGTATGAATGTTATTTATTTATTTGGGGAAAAAATATCCATGCTATGATACAAGTTGTTTATCAGTTATGTGACTTGCAAATAATTTCTCTAAATGGCTAAACTATCTTAAAAACAACATTTACATAAAAGGTTTACGGAGTCCCTGAAGCCTCCCTTTGGTACCCTAGGATTATCAGACCACACTAGAAACCCACAGCTAGTGAGCATTTCAATGGCATTTAAACTCAGCAAATTGAGCAACTCATCTCCAGCTGAATCAAAGGGACTTTACAATTAACCAAATGCCCTTCTAATTTTGTAAATGAACTCAAATTACTTACTTGCAATGCAAGGTTTTTTGGAGCACTGGCGGCAGAGCTTAAATTGAGGATAAACAAAACCATCATGAGTCATCGAGTTCAGGTAAGGCGAGAGAACAAAGAGAGAAAATCATTATTTCCTGATAAGATTGGGGTTTTATTTGCTGGCTCTTGATAAAGGAATTTAAACATCAAAGAGAAGTGAGGAAGAACTGAACTATGTAGAAACCCGGCTTTAATAATAGAAGTCCACCTCAAGGACTGTTGTTTTAAATAACAACAACAACAACAACAACAACAACAAAACTCATGCTGTTAAGAAGGGAATTGGATTGTGTTCAGTGTATAAGGGCCAACTTTGCACATTTCCCTCAAACCACCCCCTGCTTCCTTTGCCTTTATGATTTAGATACATTTCTTTTTGTATACCCCATTAAACTTACTCTCATTTGTTCATTTAACAATGAATTTGCTGGGGCGCCTGGGTGGCTCAGTCGTTAAGCGTCTGCCTTCAGCTCAGGTCATGATCCCAGGGTCCTGGGATGGAGCCCCGCATCGGGCTCCTGCTCAGCGGGAGCCTGCTTCTCCCTCTCCCACTCCCACTCCCGCTCCCGCTGCTTGTGTTCCCTCTCTAGCTGTCTCTCTCTCTCTGTGTCAAAAGATAAATAAAATCTTTAAAAAAAAAAAGCCTTAACAATGAATTTACTAAGTACCTATTATAAAGTTAGAAACTGGCCTTAAGGGGCGCCTGGGTGGCTCAGACGGTTAAGCATCTGCCTTCGGCTCAGGTCATAATCCTAGGGTCCTGGGATTGAGCCCCGCATCTGGCTCCCTGCTCCGCGGGAGGCCTGCTTCTCCCTCTCCCACTCTCCCTGCTTGTGTTCCCTCTCGCTGTCTCTCTCTGTCAAATAAATAAAACCTTTAAAAAAAAAAAGAAAAAGAAACTGGCCTTAAAATGTAATTCACACCCTTTTAAGGAAAATACTTAAGTAAGCAGTTATAAAATCATGGACTAAGTACTAAGACATACTTTATTAAGTGTGTATATTTATAAGTATAAAAATAATACCGTGAAACCAAAAATTGTTTCTTTGAAAAGATCAACAAAACTGATAGACCTTTAATTACATTGACTAAGGACAAAGAGAGAAGACTCAAATTACTAACATCAGTTGGGACATTACTACTGATTTTATAGAAATACACGTCATAAAAGAAAACTGTGAACAATTGTCCATCAACAAATTAGATAACCTAGGGGCGCCTGGGTAGCTCAGTCGTTAAGCGTCTGCCTTTGGCTCAGGTCATGATCCATCGGGCTCCCTGCTCAGCGGGAAGCCTGCTTCTCCCTCTCCCGCTCCTCCTGCTTGTGTTCCCTCTCTCGCTGTGTCTCTCTCTGTCAAATAAATAAAATCTTAAAAAAAAAATTAGATAACCTAATTAAGAGGGACAAATTCCCAGAAACATACAATCTGCCAAATGAACTCATGAAGAAATAGAAAAGTTGAGGGGCACCTGGCTGGCTCAGTTGATGGTGTGTGTTACTCTTGATCTTGGAGTCGTGAGTTTGAGCCCCACATTGGGTGTAGAGGCTACTTAAAAATAAAAATCTTAAGGCAACCCTCTTGGGTCCCCTCCCTCTTTGGGAGCTTTGTACTGTTGCTCAATAAACTTTGCTACCCACCAAAAAATTTTTTTTAAATTTAAAAAATGAAAAAATAAAATCTTAAAAAAAAAAAGAAATAGAAAACCTGAATAGACCTACAACTGGCAAGGAGGGATTAAATCAGTAATAAAAACCTCCCAGCAAAGAAAAGTAATGGACCAAGTGGCTTCACAGGTAGATTCTACCAAATATTTAAAGAACTAACACCAATCTGTCTCAAACGCTTCCAAAAAACTAAAGAGAAGGGAACACTTCCTAACTCGTTCTGTGAAATCAGCATTCCCTGATACCAAAACTACATAAAGACACTATAAGGAAAAAAGAACTATGAACTACTATCCTTTGTGAATAAAGATGCAAAAATTCTTAACATAATACTAGCAAATCTAATCCAGCAACTTATTAAAAGGATTATAAGCCATGACCAGGTGGGATTGAACCCTGGAATGTGAGGATGGTTCAACTTATGAAAAACAATCAATACCACATTATTAGAATGAAGGGGAAAAATTACATGATCATCTCGTGTAGCAAAGATATTTGCAGAAAAGATATTTCAACACCCTTTTATGATAAAAAATACTCAATAAACTGGGAATAGAAGGAAACTTTCTCAACATGATAGAGGTCATATATGAAAGATTCACAGCTAACATACTTAGTGGTGAAAGACTGAAAACTTTACCCTTAAAATCAGATACAAGACAAAGATGCCTTCTTTTCCCACTTACATTCAATACGGTATTGGAAATTCCAGCCAGAGCAATTAGGCAAGAGAAAGACATGCATCCAAATTGGAAAGTAAGTAAAATTATCTCTGTTCATAGATGGTATGATTTTTTTTTTTTTTATGAGAGAGAGTGCGCACACATGAGGGTGCAGGAGATTGGGGCGGTAGAGGGAGAGGGACAGAGAGAATCCCAAGCAGGCTCCACTCTCAGCATAGAGCCTGTCACAGGGCTTAATCTCACAACCTCGAGATCATAACCTGAGCTGAAATTAGAGTTGGATGCTTAACCAACTGAGCCACCCAGGCACCCGATGGTATGATCATATACGTAGAAAACCCAAAAGATTCCACACACACACAGAAATTGTTAGCTAATGAATGAATTCAGCAAAGTTGCAGGCCACAAAATCAACATGCTGAAATCACTTGCTTTTCTATACCACATCAATGAACAATCTGAAAAGAAAATTAAGAAAACAATTTCATTTACAATAGTATAAAAAACAATGAAATACTTAGCAATAAATTTAATCAGGAAGGTGAGGGGCGCCTGGGTGGCTCAGATGGTTAAGCGTCTGCCTTTGGCTCAGGTCATGATCCCAGGGTCCTGGGATGGAGCCCCGCATCGGGCTCCCTGCTCAGCGGGGGGCCTGCTTCTCCCCCTCCTTCTGCTTCTCCCCTTGCTCATATTCTCTCTCTCTCTCTGTATCTCTGTGTCTCGAATGAATAAATAAAAAAAACTTTAAAAATAAAAAATAAAAATAAAGAAGGTGAAAGACTTGTACACTGAAAACTATAAAACATTGCTGAAAGGAATTAAAGAAAACTTAAGTGGAAAGACATCCTATGTTCATGGATTGGAATATTTAATATTGTTAAGATGATAGTGCCACCCAAAATGCTTTATAGATTGAATATAATTATCAAAATCCCAATGGCATTTTTTGCAAAAATAGAAAAACCCATCCTAAAATGCATCTGAATCTCAAGGGACCCTGGATAGCCAAAATAATCTTGAAAATGAAGAACAAAGTTAGAAGTCTGACACTTTCTGAGTCTAAAACTTACTACCAAGCTAGTATAATCACAACAGTGTAGTACTGGCATAAGGACAGGCATATAGACCAATGGAATAGAATAAAGATCTCCAAAATAACTCCATGCCTATATGGTCAGTTGATTTTCAACAAGGGTACAAAGATCATTTAATGGGAAAAGGATAGTCTTTTCAAGAAATTGTTCTGGGAAAACCGTATATCCACATGCAAAAGAATGAAGTTGGATCTTTTCTTTACACCATGGACCGAAAACCCTCAAAATGGATCAAAGACCTAAAGGTAAGAGCTAAAACTGGAAAATCCTTAGAAGAACACATAGGTGAAAATCATTATGACACTGTATTGGCAATGATTTCTTGGATGTGACACTGTTGCTTGTTTTACGGGATGCTTTCCATCCTTGGCTCATGACCATGACATGACAATAACAACCCTCAAATATTATGACCACAAAAAGGCTACTGGACATTTGCAAACATCCTCTGTGTGTCGGGGGGGAGGCATTATGAAAGTATTTATGAAATACATATGAAAATATTTATGAATAAAATTATTTGCTTTCTGAAATTTGTTTCAAAATAATTTGTGGGAGGGCGCCTGGGTGGCACAGTCAGTTAAGCGTCTGCCTTCAGCTCAGGTCATGATCCTGGGGTCCTGGGATGGAACCCCCTGCTTCTCCCTCTCCCTCTGCCCCTCCCACCCAACTCGTGCTCTCTCTCTCTCTCTTTCTCAAATAAATAAATAAAAACTTGAAAGCATTTTTTTTAAGATTTTATTTATTTGACAGAGACACAGCGAGAGAGGGA